TTGTGGACGAAGGCATCGAAGTGGAGGATGGAGGGGTCGGAGAGCTAGAAGTGTGAGTTAGGGGAATGGATATCCGGGTTGGGGAGGCCTACTTGGAATGGAAGCTCGTATTGGGCCATTGTAGCTTGAGTTATTTACTATCTGATGGATAATATAGAAAGTAGGGATTGAGGGATGAGACACCAGGGACATATCACAATATAAGGGATATGGATGAGAAGAGGGGAAGATAAGCTGACCCCGCACCTCGGATATCGGCAAGTTTCCTACAAAACAACTTTTAGAATACGATTGAGCAAATACCATGTATCAACTTTATCATTCGCTGATCATCTATATACATAACAGCTTTGTAGTCTGTACATCGGCTGCTTCTAGTGCAAGTACTCATTCACCACTTGCGTAAATGCCGTCGCATTTTCCAACATCGGCAGATGACCCGCCTTTGGCACCAACTTCAACTCGGACTGGCTCTTCAGGTCTGCCACCATCTGCTGCATCGTCTTGGGCAGCACACCGTCACTCTCGCCGGCCACAAACAGGCCTGGCACCTGTGCCTGTGCCATCCGGTCCCGCACGTCATACGCACACAGGGCCTGGACGCTCTGTCTGAATCCGGGGAGACTGTTCGTCCGCACCAATTCCTTGGCCTTAGCGGGCAGATGGGGCTGTGTCTCGTACGACTCAGCTGTGAACCAGCGCCGCACGGTGATTTCGGCCAGCTTCTCGCCGACAATCGCCTGCTGCGTGGTGGACGACACGGCACCCTCGCTGGCTGCCAGCTCGACACGCTCGTTCCAGGCCTTACGGTTCGTCTCGGGGCTGGAGCTGTTGGTGTCGCAGGAGATGAAGCGCTCCACGCGCTCCGGGTACAGCAGGGAGGTGTTCAGCACGGTCACACCACCCAGACTGACACCGATAAGGGTGGCCTTGGGAACGCGCAGAGCATCCAGCAGCGCGATAATATCCGAGGCGAGTAGATCGATGTTGACCGGCTTCTCGCCGCATTCTTGCTGGCGGCCACGGGTGCAGTACCGGACAATGCGGAAGTTTTGGTTGCGAGGGTCGGAGAGGAACTGGTCGACAAAGTCGTCCCAGATGGTGTAGTCCACCAGGATGGAGTTGCTGAGCACGATGACCGGGCTGTGGGGGTCGGTGCTACCCTCCAGGCGGTAAGGGAGCTCAACGCCGTCGGCGGTGGTGACGAAGGACTCGACGGCCGGGCGGGTGGGAGAGGGCAAGGTGCGGGTTTTGCCGTCAATGGACGACCAGGGACCGATAACATCCGGGGAGGTCAGGGAGGACAGCTCGCGGGGAGCGGGTCCGAAAGTGTAGGCCCACTGGTAGGTGCGACGGCGGGTCTTAGCCACGACGTCGGTCATGATGCGGGTGCGCCAGGGAGTGTCGGTGGCGGCCTTGTATTCGGGACCGCCCAGGCCATTCTGGGCAGCGTACTCGTGCACGGCGAGGTATTCGCGCGGGGCTTTGGGGTCGATGGTGGAGGTGACGAAGAGGCGGGAAGAGCGCCAGCCGGGCACGCGGGACAGCATGGGGATGTGCTCTTCGCGGTACCAGCGGGTGAACTCGTCCTCCTTAGCGGCGTCGGCGGAGGAGAGGGAGAGGGAGACGGCGACAAGGGCAGAGCCGGCAGCCTCGGTGTCGGGGGTGAGTTCGAGGGGTTTGTAATCAGCCGCCTTTTGCTCGATAACAGTATCGTAGAGCCGGCGATCGACGTCAATCTGGGCCATGGTCGCCTTTTCCCGGGGGGTCTTGATGGTGTCGCCGCGGAGGGCGAGGTAGGTCTCGCGCGTCAACTCAACCATATCAGTGATGTCGTAGAGTGCCACCCACTCGGGCTCCTCGCCGTCGGTTGCGCGATAGCGGAAGCCATTGGTGCAGAAGGGCAGACGCAGGCGCAGAGGACCGTGTTCGGTATTATACCAGTCGTGGAATTGGGCCTCAGGGAGAGAGGGACGAGGGTTCATCGTCACCCAGAGAAGGCCGGGAGTCGTCATTTTGAATATGATGTTAAGCAGGGACAGCTGACACCAAGAGAGAGATAGAGAGTAACTGCAACGAAATCAATGATGAGGGGCAGATGGCGGGGTGACCGGCGATAATAATCATTATAATGAGATTCCGACTGACTGCCGACCACACAGCCGATGGCGGCCGATGGTTGAAGTCATCGGCTATATCTTTAAGTTCCAGTCTTCATCTCCCAGGCACCGGTGGCGGGGAGCCACTGGGGAAGCCACTGGGGTTTACGGGGTAATTTGAATCCCAAGATGTCATGGTAGATAGACAGATGGGAGATCCTCCAAACATACTTGACTGGCGAGAGGAAGTTGTATAGAAGGAAGAAGGGCTCTCTCTATGAAATGCCTGGAAAATGTAATAATTCTGCAGCCTGGGAGTTCAGGCATGAATTTCGGTAGCCACAAACTGCCGAGTCACCTGATGCTATACTCCGATCATGATCACGTGTGACCCTCCAGATTCTGACCTGGGCGGTGAGGTGACTGGCAGAATGGGAAACCGGGCGGAGTTAGTCACTCTCAAGCCGAGATGCAACCCGACGATAAGATCATCGAACAACATCCAACTCAACTACAACTACTCGACCAGCTTGCCTGTTTTCACGGCTTCAGGCTAGACCTCTTCTCTCGTCATATCCCTCGCTGTCTGGCTCACGCATCTCGTAGCTGAGTCATGGCGCCTCAGAAATCGGTGGCAGAGGTGCCCCGTTCCCTGATTCCCCGTCTGACTTGGAACGGTTCCTCGACTCGCACTACTTTTACCTCTCCCCAGACTACCGCCCTGCCGGCGAAGCGCCAACAAAAGCAGTATATCGTACGGAGTCGGATTTCTGCTGGACGACAACTGCATACCTCGACTTCCCCGTCCACTGCCTCTTCAACATTCCCCGCAGCAGCCCGAGATCTAGGCACATCGATCGCAAGACGCTTCCCTTCCACAACCAAGCCGGCCAGCCAACCAGCCGCACCCCTTGGGAACCCCATCCGACATAATGGTGTCTATGTCGCTGCATTCAACCCAGCGCGGAGAGCTTTTCATGCGTCCGCTCCACGCCAGCGCGACCATCACTTTGATACATTGAAATTCGTCCAGCGATTGAAAGATGAGGGATTCAGCGAAGAGCAGGCTGTTGCCATGATGCGGGTCTTGAACGACGTCATTCAGGAGTCCATCCAGAACTTGACTCGGACAATGGTGCTTCGGGAAGGTTAGTCCTCCTGTGATTTATGCATACGATACCCAAGAGCATTTTCATTCTAAGTCCATTTCTACAGACACGGAACGATCCGCCTATACACAAAAAGTCGACTTTGCCAAACTCCGCTCCGAGCTCCTCAACGCCGATTCTACCGAAGCGCAGTTGACTCGCTCGTCGCACGAAAAGATCGCCGCTGATCTCGCCAAACTCAACTCTCGTCTACGCGACGAGATCGGTCGCACGCAGGCGTCAGTGCGACTGGATCTGAATCTGGAGAAAGGTCGCATCCGGGAAGAAGCCAATGGCCAAGAAATGCGTATAAAGGAGACGGAAACGAGAATTGAGCAGGAGGTGGCTGGATTGAGAGAGCGTGTAGAGGCTGTCAAGTTCTCCACGCTACAATGGCTCATGTAAGTGGTACCCGACATTCCACACAGTACAATGCTGACAGATCTTCTCTAGGGGTGTATGCACTGGTACCGCTGCTCTAATTCTTGGTGCCTGGCGTCTCTTCATGTGAACCCATCATTCTGTGGATTTCGGTCAAGTCAGCCGGATTAACATGCCTTGTCTGTTGCCTTCATATCAACTCCCCGCTTCTCCTTACCGCCGAAAAATGTGGCGGAATCAGGAACCGATGGCTAGTTTTCTCTTCTCTTTTGTTTAATTAGCGATGTGGTGGCTTCCGTAATCATTATATATATATACTATTGTTTTATTTATTATCTTCCGGGGGTGTGGTACATATATAGTGGGACGTGCTCCTATCCTGCCTGTGGCCGGCGGCCGTGATGCCGGCATGGAATGAAGCGAGCTGTGAAGTGATATGATGCAATTCCGCGACACTTATTATGTTACCACCACTAAGTGGCTCATTCTGCATTAGATGTCTGCTCGCCTAAACAACTGCTGCAGAAGAAAGGTGGGGGTATTGCGAACCATGCGATTTCAGTGATAAGGGAAATGAAGGGGCGGAGAATAGAGCGGTGCAGTGTCATACAAGCCATGTAATACTCAGGACCGACGGGGTCCGCCGGCCTCAAAAAGAGGGGGAAAACACGCTCATTTACAATCAGGCAATGATTGGCCCGGTATGCTCTTCGTTCCTGTCTTTGCCAGGTTCTTCTCGCTCCACTCTTCGGTAGTAGTACTAGTCAACTCCTCGCGTCTGCGCCGCTCCAATGGCATCCATATCTTTCTGCAGCTTATCATCGGCTCACAGCAAGAACAAGGGGTAATGGCGTCCTAGCTCGCCTGCCAGATAGCCAACGAACATGCTTTGTTCAAACTAGCACGTCTTCTTCAAGTGTGACTGACGATATATCACCGTATAGCACTATGCTTGGAACTGCCATGGTTTGATCCATCACAGTCGGGCTTAGTTGTACACTGTCAACAAGAAGCACGCTAAAGCAATCTCCGCATGCAGAGCACAGTCATTTCGGAAACTTATCACCCTACAAAACCCAGCTAGTTACTAATGTATCATGCACCATGGCCTCATACAAATACCCTTCCCGACCCCCTGGGGCGTCAACAATGGGCATTGTTCTGCACTCATTTACAGGCATCTTACCCTATCCGGCTGAGCCCTACTAGCACTTAGTGCTTCTCTCTTGCGCATTGGGACTTTCTCAGGGGCTTACACTTCATACTCGTGTCGCCCACGTGAAGTTTCCACATAGTCGCAACACCATACAGAGACATCCTTCTAGAACCGCACCGATCAGAGTAGATCCCATCCTGCAGGAAAGCCGCGATCATGATGGTCTCTTTCGGTGTCGCATTCTACCTAGTATCTCTACTGTTTACTCCAGCGCGGGCTCTGCTAGAGGTCTTCGAGGTATACCAGCCCGTCCCCACAGGCCATGGCAGCGTTGGGTGCAATGAGGAGATCCTCCTGATGGACCATGTCTTCGGCTATAGCTATGGGGAACCATACGTTGGTAGGATAGAAACAGTGTCTGATCCCACCAGTTTGTCCATAAGCTAAACTATATGAACCAGGGATCTACGAGCCACCAAACTGTACCTTTGACACCGTTCGCATCAACTTCACTGTCACCTCCAAGGGCAGACAGTATGATCGTCTGGCGCTCATGTACTTAGGGGACACAGAGGTGTTCCGAACATCAACTGCTGAACCAACGACCGACGGAATCATCTGGACCTATATCAAAGATATGTCTCAGTTCAACGTACTGTGGAAAGAAAAACAGAGATTGATCTTCGATCTTGGCAACATCATTACTGATATCTACACCGGCTCTTTCAACACCACCCTGACAGCCTACTTCTCATATGAGGGCAACGTCAGGACCCCAGATGTCATTCTCCCAATATCTGCTCGCAAATCCGCCCAGAACGCCTCGAGCGACTTTGAGCTTCCATCCGACAATGCCACAGTGCAATATCAGATCCCCCAGACAGCATCCCGTGCAGTCGTGTCCATTTCCGCATGTGGCCAGTCAGAGGAAGAATTCTGGTGGTCCAACGTCCTCTCCGCCGATGAGTACACCTTCGACAATACCATCGGCGAGCTGTACGGGTACTCTCCATTCCGTGAAGTCCAGCTCTATATCGACGGCGTCCTTGCGGGTGTGGACTGGCCATTCCCTATCATCTTCACCGGCGGTGTCGCGCCAGGATTCTGGCGTCCAATCGTAGGAATTGACGCTTTCGACCTACGCCAACCCGAGATCGATATCACGCCCTTCCTCCCCTTGCTCAAGGACAACAAGTCCCATTCGTTCGAGATCAGAGTTACGGGTCTGAGCGTTGCCGACGACGGAACAGTAACATTCGCCAACACCGTCAACTCCTACTGGGTAGTCACCGGCACTATCTTCCTCTACTTGGACTCCTCCTCCTCCTCCTCCTCCGAATCACACAGCATAACCACCGGCCAAGCGCCCGAAATATACGCCCCGGCGCCCACCCTCACCGTCACACGGGACCTCACCCAGAGTTCAAACGGGACCAACGAAACACTCTCATACTCAGTTACAGCCGAAAGAACATTCACCGTAAAGTCCTCCGAATACTCATGGAGCCAAAACCTCTCCTACTCAAACTACGGATACCTCAACCAGCAAGGACTAAGCCAGAAAAACAACCAACAGACCTCCGGCACTAACACCATCACTCAACTCACTGGGGACAACAAATCTACAAATGAGGTCACATTCCAGTACCCTCTAATCTGTAACACGACGTACGGACTGCAAGATGGCCTTTCCATCAGTGCCTGGATCCGCAGAGGCCTGGATATCAGTTCGACCGGTGGTGATGGTGAGCTCGGCGTCTCCACGTATACGTTTACCTCGGGGCCGTTGGATCTGCATACGGAACAATATGGAACGGCGTATTATTTCGAACCCGAGGATGATGAGAGTTCGGTCTCGTATGGTGAGACGGTTGATGTTTGGGGAAGTAATGCTGGGGGTGTGGAGTATTCGAGGAATGTTCGTGCGGTGAATGGGACGGTTGTTTCGGATAGTGAGAGCTAGATTATCATTATTTAGTTCAAATGTGTATGACAGGTGGGTATGATTAGGATAGATGAGGTTGAGGATATATCTACATATATATATATATATATATATATATAACTGGGGATTGGTCAGTTTTGTAATCTGAGAAAATACATTTATATGCTACATAAGTAGTAGTATTACATGGAACATAAATATAACAAACCCTGACTAGTAGACACTACTCACGCTGCGTTATCTCATGAAAATGAGGGATAGCACTCAGTTCATGAAACAATATCCCACCTCCCATGAATATGAATATATACATTTTCTCCTGCGAACTTGACTCTCCGCGAGATGATCGTAATCTCTCATTTCTGGTTAATTTGGCTCTACGATGAAATCTTCACCGGGCTGGGACAACGGGCTGACATTAAAGGAACATCGGCAATGAAATCCAATAGTTTAACAACCAAATATGGCAATGCTCGGATCGGCAAAGCTCCCTCCCCCCTCCCCACCGGATTACCGGCTTAGGTGACCGGTGTGAAAGAAGGTTGGATCCGGCTTGCCGGCTATCGAAACCTGAATAGGTAGTTAGTTATTGTGGATATAGTAGGTAAACCGAGATTGGTACTAGTGAGTCGGGTACTAAGAAGTTGGTCATCTCTGTAGTAAGTAGCACGGCCCTCTGTTTACGAATACTACAATATCTGAAGGCTATAATATCAGAGATTTGGATTGAATTCCTTTATTGAAGACAAATCAACTCCAACCATGCCGGTTCATAATCAGTCAGGCTGAACGAAGCTAGAAACCAAAATGTGAAACCAAAATGTGAAAAGACTATGTACAAAATCCACCCTCAAATCGAAGGGAAATAATTTTTACAAGACAAAAATTGTGCTTTGCGAGGTGGTCATTTACAAACGGCTTTGCTGGGAGTCCTGGCCAAGAGGCTTCGTCGTAAACGAGCCGAAGAAGGCATTGAGGGCGTCCACGGTGCCGCTGCCCTCGGACAGCTGCACGGTACAGGCGACGTGGCTGTCCGGGCGAGTAACGACAACACCACCCTTCTCCACGTCGAAGCCCAGCTTCTCGTGAGCGGCGTAGGTGGCCTGGGGAACGCGCACGTCGGGGATGTTGTCGGCGTAGAGGTGGTGGTGGTAGTCGCGGAGGATCTTGGGAATGGAGTCCACGTCGATCTGGTTCTTCTCACCAGCGTAGACCAGGCAGATGGAGAACAGCTTGGAATGAGGCAGGTGGTTTTCGAAGAACGACACGTCGGCAATGTCGGTGCGGCGGTACACGGAAAGGAACGAGCGTTCCTTCTCGAGGTTGGCAGCAAGATCGGTGATCGCCTTGCTGGTCTTGTCCTGCTTACCGGCGAAGATGAAGATCCGGAACGCACCGTTGGCAGGGATCTCCTGTTCCAGGTGCACGTGGTTGGAGTCTGCCAACCGGGTGACGGTGGTGGGCGTGAACGCGCGACCAGGGGTCAGGCGGACACCGGGGACGTCGAACAGCGGGGATTGAGCGGGGTGGCTAGCGTCCCAGGTGAACACATTAGGCTTGTAGGCAACACCGTATCCACTGGTGAATTCACAAGAGGACTTGAAGGTCTTGACGAATTCGTCTTCCTCGCCGCCAGCCGCAGCAGTAGTGTGGCTGGCCTCGCCGACCTCGCCGGCAGTAGGGCGACGCTTGGAGAACAAGGCGGCGTATTTGTTGTCGAAGCTCAGCAAAGTCTCAGCAATATCTTTGCGCTCAGTCTCGTAGGTGCTGAGGATGGAGCGCTTAGCCAAACCAGACTCAACGGCGTGGAGCTTCCAGGCCATGTTCAGCGCATCGTGGAAAGCAGTGTTCATTCCCTGACCAGCCTTGGGCTACAGCGTTTGTTAGAATGCATATTCAACTCGCAAGATATCTTGAAGACGGGCACACTTACACTGTGAGTGTGGCAAGCATCACCACCCATGAACACACGCTCATCGAGAGTGTACTTCTCGGAGATACCCTGACCGATCGGGTAGACGGAGTACCACTCGACGCGATCCCATTCCACCCAGTACGGCTGAAGAATCTTCCGAGCGGTGGCCTGAACATCCTCGGCGGTTGCTGTCTTTCTAGGGTCGAAGTCGGGGTCGTCCGACGAAGCGATCTGGACATACAGACGGACCATGTTGTCCTCACGGGGAATAACCATGATAGAACCGGCATCAGAGTGGATAGTGCACTTGGTCTGTTGGCAGATAATTAGCGACTGTTCGCATTGTGATTAAATTTTGAATTTGCTTACCTCAATGTCAGGGAAGTTGGTCCTCACGACACCATCCATGACACCCCAGACATAAGAAATGGGATCCTTGTACTGGATCTGAATACCAAGCTGCTGTCTGATGAAACTGCGAGCACCTTCACCGCTGAACAGATACTTGGTGCGAACAGTCTCGATCACGTTGGTGTCAATGCTCTTGAGCTGCACTTCGACGGGGTAGGTCTCGTCCAAGCCGTCGTTCTTGAAACCGACGATGGTCCACGGCCTCTCGACAGTGGTACCGGCCTTCTCGATCTCATCCAAGAAGACGCGCTCGATCTTACCCTGGTGAACCAGGGTAGTGAAGGGGTATCTTGTGTCGATAAAGCGGGGGCAGCTGGGCCAACTGCCAGTACGGTGGATACCTTGTCCACCCGGGAGAGGATCCCAGAAAGCAACATCGTACACCTTAGCGGGCTTGAAGGCCATGATTTGGCGCTTCAAGCCCAGGTTGCGAAGGATTTCCGTCGAACGAGGCTGGATACCATCGGCACGGCCGGTGGCGGTGGGCACCGGACGGTTGTCAATGTGCTTCACCTTGTAGCCCCAGCGGGACATGCAAAGCGACAAGACAATGCCAACCGGGCCAGCGCCCACGATGACAATGTCATACTTTTCTTGTTGTGAAGGGGCCATGGCGGCAGTGTGCAGGCGAGAGAGCGGGTCAAGCTTCGGGGTAGTGGTGGTGTGGGGAAGTCAATAGATACAGAGTGGGGATGGGGTATATTCACAAGAAAGAGACAGACTGAAGCATCACCCAAAGGTGGGAGAAGAAAGCAAATAAATAGAGAGAGATGAAGCTGATCTGGAAAGAGAAACCTTCATGATGAAAGGGAAGGGGAAATGGCGATATAAATACCATGTGGTGAGCTGGGGTGGTGGCCCGAAGGCACACGGCGAGACAGACATCGGGGAACCACAACGGCATTCATAGTCGGCTGGATCGTGGAGAGTTTGGGGGGAGAGCAGCATAATAGAGCGTGGGGACGAGCAGGAAGCACAGAGAGGGCTGAAAAACCCGCGGTGTCAGCCATGCAGGGGGGGACAGTACTGGCCAGAAATGGCCAAAGATGGCCAAAGAAGGGCCGTGGGTAACCAATACTGGGGGAGATCCACTGGGGCTGCGGGGACATGGGAGGCGCTGGGAGAGCGCTGATTGGTTCAGGCAGACTGCCGTTGCTCGATCCGAGCCCCCGGACTGACTTGGGATGAACTTGGGACGCTCTGCGGCTAAGCAGCTCGGCAGGTGGGATTGGTGGGAGTCACGTGGCTGGCCGTCGGTCTCCCGGTCAATCTTCCGATCCCGGGTTTGCCGGGCATTTTCATGTCATTTGCTACACTTTCTACACCTTGAGGTAACAGTCACTGACTCGGCTGTATGATGCCGATTAGCAATCTGAATTACGTTTGTGGTAACTCGAGTGGACTTACTAACAAAACACTCTACTCCTGGTCAGCTAGTTATACAATAACTTCCATGTTAGGTTAAAGTGGCTAAATGAATCGGTTGCATAAATTTATACCTGCCAGTCGACGCATATTGCATTTTCCCTAGCACCCAATGAAGGCTCGTGTAGTTCAGATGAATAAGACCCTTGAAGAGGCAATTTGCGTCACAATGTCATAGTATTATTATTCCTGTGATGGCGAGTGGCTCTTGAGATCACGTGCTTTGTTTGATCTGTTTTGCTTATTGGTCACGTGGCGCTCACTCAACGTAAGTAGTATAACCTGTAGTCTATGGGGAAGCCTGGGGAAGGAAGAGATCATGACTGAAGGCATATTCAGGAGGATCAATTTACCAGAAAAGGGCAGGTAGTTTTATTAAGATTGCTGGGGCTGTTTTTCCTATACTACTTGCCAATGGTGATTTACACGCCCAGATTGAGGACCAAGGTGTATATATATATCCAAACTATAGCTCATCTAGTAGGATATCAGTCTAGTACTTCTTACTACTAGTACTAGCCCATCTCAGCATTCCATCCGAGAAGTTAGCTGCTACTTACTACTACTAAGTTCCCAACGATAAGTAGGGCAGCAATGTTTGTATTCTTCGAGTTATATCAAGATATTTTGACCTCGAATGTTATTTATTGGGTTCATTCATAGACACATACAGACATACATACATACATCAAGACCATACATACACATATTGATTACAATTACAGTAACCGCAACAACTCCAAATCCTTCGCCACGGCCGGACTGGCCTGCGCACAATCTTCCAAAAACTGCATCATCTCCTGGTTCCATTGCTCCCATCCCGCCGGCAAAGTCTCCTGTAACCGTCTGTCCGAGGAGTGAGATATACAGTAGAAAAGGAGGATTTGGCCGAAGAACCTACAGAAACCTGGTAAGCACGTAACAACATCTTACGGGAGGGGAAATTGGAGTTGGGGATTGGTTGTTGACTTACTGAGAACAAAAAGCGAATTTAATCGGGATACAGCTCTTCATGCGCTGGAAGATGCCGCCCACGACAGGCCAATTCATTGCATTGAGCAAACCACTGTGAATCTGCTCGAGATCTTTGTCTGTTAGGGCGCCGGGCGTGTGGAGCGCCTTGTAGAGGTAAGGACGGCCGATGTGGAAATTGGCGATCATATACCGGCCACGAAGCATGGCTTCGGAGACGGCGATCGCGGGGGATAGGGCGTGGCGGTGGGACGGAGTGAAGGGAAGGTGTTGCTGGGAGGCTGGAGATGGTGGGATCGGGGTGCTTGGATTCGTGGTCAGGGCAGAGGTGGTGTGGTCGGGAAATTGGAGGGCGGCGGGGAGGTTGATACGCCATTGTTCTAGTTGGTGACGGAGTTCGGCGTTGACTGCTGGGTGGGGGAATGTGCCGGAGTCGGCTGGTAGGAACGGAGTGTTAGTTGGATGAAGATAGCTGGATGAGGGTAGGGTAACTCACAATGAAAGTAGAGCGAGTGTCGGATGCGGGTTAAGATGATTCGATGGGCGACCTGCGCGAGGAAATGATATTGGAAAAACGAATCGTCTATCTCTTCTAATGAGAGTGAGCGAGAAGCTGGAAAGCCCACGCTTTCGAAGGTGATGAACTTGGGAATTGGGACGTATTCTTCGAGTCGGGAGAGACCGCTGGGCGGGACGTGTAATTCTTGGACGAGAATGGTTTCGTTCATTAGGCAGTTCCAATATACTCGAGATTTCATATCGCCTTCCCATTCATCGAAGTGTACATCATGACTGGCTAGTGTCAGTTTTGCGAGGACCATTTATGCGATAATAGCCATGGATGGCTTACTTGGTGAGCATGGACAGACAGCAAGTGGCCGCTCGATGGATCATGGCCCACGAATCCATGGGGCGAAGAATTTGACTGTAGTAGATGCTTTACAAAGTTAGCATTCCATCAAGGATATTCAAGCGGAAAGCCTTACAATGACAAGAGGTAAAATTGGCAGCTTTGGAGATTGTTGTCACACATCAGAAATCCAATGCGCTGGCGAGCAGTGTTGAAGAAGCGCAATCCCGGGGGGTTCTCGTAGACCACCCCCATCCAGTCGGGAGGCTCGAAACGACCACTGCGCGTCCCTAGTAATGGGAAATCCCCTTCCTGGTAGGCGTGGACAGCGATGCAGCCCAGCGCCATGATATTGAGAACCACACAACTCTCGATGTTGTAGCCAAAGTTGCTCTCAATAGCCGCGCCCAGGGTGAAAGCATAATAATAGTTCTTGTCGATTATAGGGGTAAACAGGTTGAAAGTGGTGAAGTATGCGTCCGAAAGGCCTTTGACCATGGCCAACGGAAGTGCGTTCAGCCAGTTGTCCCCGGCCTGCGCTGGGAAAGGGCAGATGTACATAGGCAATTGGGGGCGCTTCATTTCAATGTCAATCACATAGTTTTTGCCCAGTTTTTCGTGTGCTGCAAGTAACCGTTGTGGAAGAATCTCTTGAGCACCTGCCCAGGAGATCACTCCATGCTGGCTGAATGAAATCGAGACTAATCCGTTTGCCTCCGTCGGATTGGGATGCAGGTGTTGGTCGTCATGCTCCACTTCGTTCAGTCTCATTGCCTCTGGCGTGAGAGCCTGAGAGGTCAAGCGTTCCAACCTACCCAAGCTGCTCGTGCTGCGAGAATGATGCGCGAGCGAGCCTATCGTCTCTGTGCCATCCAAACTACGGGGCATCTGACCCCGAAGGGATTGGATTTCCTTGGAAATGGCCGTGGGAACATTTTCCAGCTTGGTTTCCAGTCGATGCAACGTGCTCATTATCAAGCTGAGAGAATGATCTCGTCTACTCTGAGCATTAGCAACAATGAAGAAAGGGACTGGTGAAAGTGACTCGGTCTTACTTGGAGGTCTTGCGCTCATTGTAGACACACTCGAGGTTCAGCGACTTACACAAGCCGCACTTCGGTCGCGATTCATCACATCGCGTCTTCTTAAGCCTGCAATTCTCACATGCCTAAGAGAAGTGGTTACTACTACTATCGCGCACATTACTGGCAACGGGGAAGAACCAACCACTGTGGCTATAAAGTTTCGGGGCTTTTTGCTGGGCCCGGATGCATGATGCTGCTGCTCTGAATCCCCGGGCGAGAGACCCTGAGGGGTGTGATCCACCAGATCGGGGGACTGGGATGCAGGGCGTGGTGGGGACCCTTGATGAGGACGCTTGCTCATGGTTGAGATTGTACGCGATAACGCCCACGGCTCCCTACAATTAGTGGTGGGAATCGCACATTGTGATCCCGACTAGCTCTGCTTCCTGTTCGTGCTGTAAAGGGCTTCGACAGTCCCAATCGGCCGTTAGATTAATTGTTAGATCCGGAATCTCGTAGAATTTCTTCAGCAAAAGACTGGATAGACTCATTTATTATCTCCGATTAGTTATCAGATAGTCCCGGTGACTCAAAATGATGCCCGGAGAAGGTGCCCTTTTCCGGAGTCACCTGACTGGGCCCGTTCTCTTCCTCTTTAGCCTCGGATGCCTCTTTATTATGCTCACGTGACCCAAACCACTCCTAGGACTAGGAAAGACGAGAAGGATACCTGCTTTGAATAAAGCTGGCTAGATTTTTTCCATTGTAAAAATCTTCTTTTTTTCTTCAATCATCTAAAGTTTATTTTATGTCATTAAGTGAATGTACAAGCTTTCTGTGATATTAACGTCATAGTACTTTGGACATCATTCCTGGACTGTGAAACTTGGCCAATCAAGAATGATCTCCGTCTATAATGTACATACTCTTTGTATTACCGCACATGCTAGTCTACTTCATATTTATATGATAAGATATAGCGTTTTCAGATGAAGCTCATATATTTTTATGACGCAATCTGGTGTAGAGAAGCCATTTTAAGCTCAATCGAACTCCATTCCATCCAATGCTTATTCTTATGCTTGGTCGAGCCCGCAACTATGCAGTTGCTTCTGTAGGGAAGTAAATCCTTACAAAGAAGGGTATTACCCGCCTCCTCCCACGTGTATTTGAGTACGTATATAGGGGATTCTAGGGATCCGCAGAGTATCTGCTGGTAATGATGGCCCTATGGTCTTGTCTTGAACTTTGGCCCCTAGAAAGGTTGCTTAGAGCTTCACATTCAAACAAATGTCATAACTGGCTAACCAGTAGTCTGCGAGTCAGTATCCTCTCCGCTCTTCGTCATGTTGCATATTACATGCTTTTATCTTCAATTTTCTTATTCTTCCTTTTCTTTTGTGGTAACACATCTCATCTTGTATCACGTGCGGAGATCATCACTTTCTTATCAGAGATAAGTAACTAGTCACATGTTCGAGCTCATTATTCAGTATCAGCTGCATGATCATCACGTGAACGAGCTGATTCTGAATCAGGAATCCTGTAAATCTATCCAACCATTCGCCATCTCCAGTCAACCGCAAACTGTCGCACTAAGTTCCGGGCGGCCGGCCAAAACTTAAGGTACGTACCAGACTAGTACTTCGTATATATACCTAGCAGTTACCTATGTAGCATTTACCAGTCCGGGGAGCCTGTCTCGGATAAATACTTGATCCATACCGAGCCGAGGTCCGGGGTATGGGATTGCCATGCTGGTCGGCCGGATGGAGAGCGTGACCGTCGCAATCAATCAGTCGCGAGCTTCCTTTTTTCTTTTCTTAATTCCCCCTTTGCTTTTAATCCGTGTACGCAGCTTTTTTTGTAAACTATCCCATCTATAACTAACTGCTTTTTCTCCCCCCCCTCTTTCCAAAGTCGCCGCTTCTTGCTTCTCCTGCTACAGCGCTCAAGAAGACACGACTCCTCCCCGCTCCCTTCTCCCCACTTCTTATTCTCCCCGCTCATCCGCGCCAGCCACCACCATGACCGCTTCTCCGTCCGCCGCTGAATCAATTCCAGAGGAAGTCAGAGTTCCGGAGCCCAAGCCCGTTAACCAGACGATTGCTCAGATCCGCTCGCTTGCTGCTGGTGCTGCCGGTGGTGTGTGCGCCGTTGTTGTCGGACATCCTTTCGATCTGGTGAAGGTGCGCCTTCAGACCGCAGAGAAGGGCGTTTACTCTGGTGCTATCGATGTTGTGAAGAGGACTGTGGCCCGGGAGGGTCTCGCTCGAGTAAGTTATCTTGATAGCTGGCGTTGGACACGGTTGCTGATCATCGGAATAGGGACTGTATGCAGGTGTCTCTGCTCCCCTGGTGGGAGTCACACCAATGTGTAAGCTTCCCTCTACTTTTTCTATTTCCGTCGCAACTGCTAACAGATCGCGTGTATTCCAGTCGCTGTCAGTTTCTGGGTATGTCTACGAGTTTATGGAATGTGATCAATCTCTTTTCGCGCAGACGGCTGACAGCTGGTAGGGTTATGATGTGGGTAAAACGCTCGTCGGCAAAATGTCCGAAGTTCGCGTAGAGAACAACACCCCTCAATACACCATTGGCCAGATTTCAGCTGCTGGTTTCTTCTCTGCCATTCCCATGACCTTGATCACGGCACCCTTCGAGCGCGTCAAGGTGCTCCTTCAGATCCAGGGTCAGAACCCCCCGCCTCCCGGCCAGAAGCCCAAGTACTCCGGCGGTCTGGATGTGGTCCGGCAGCTATACCAGGAAGGTGGTATTCGCAGTGTGTTCCGTGGTAGTGCAATGACCCTTGCTCGTGACGGCCCTGGTTCTGCTGCGTACTTCGCCGCCTACGAGTACATCAAGCGCACTTTGACTCCCAAGGATGCGGAAGGAAATGTCACTGGCCAGTTATCCATGCCAGCCGTCCTGGCTGCCGGTGGTGCTGCTGGTATTGCCATGTGGATCCCTGTCTTCCCTGTCGATACCATCAAGTCTCGTCTGCAGAGCGCGCCTGGTCGTCCGACGATCGGCGGCACAATTCGCACCGTCTATGCCAACGGTGGCTTCAAGGCTTTCTTCCCTGGATTCGGACCTGCTTTGGCAAGAGCCGTTCCTGCCAATGCTGCTACTTTGTATGTTGTTCTAACCCTGACATGTTCTGGGGCTGTCGTTGCTAATATATGCCGAACAGTGCGGGTGTTGAGCTGGCTCATCAGTTCATGACAAAGCTCTTCGACTAGACGGATGCCTTGCGCGCTGCAGGTACGGTGGTGTAAGTCTATCGGTTATTTGATATTGTGGCGTTCGTTGTTTCGTCCTTTGTGAAAGCATTTTGCAAGCCTGGATATTCTTTTTTTTTTCATTTAGACTAGACGGTTTCTGGCTGTCTGTAGTGCTAGGAATCCAATACTATATCAGTAGAGAATCTGTCGCTGGTTTGACTAAGTAGTTAGTACGTTCGACTGTTAGACTGATAGTAGGCTATTGCCTGTCCAGAATCAGGATCACTGCTGTTGCTAAATGAATAGAATGATAGAGTATTGACGGAGATATTATGTAGAAAAGAAAAAGGAAACAAGAAGATAACGGAACAGTGAGGCAATAAAGTACAGGGTCTCTCGAAAAATCACCGAGTCGGCGATTTCAACCGACAACCCTCAAAAGCGGAAGGGGCGCGCGACCGGTTACTTTGTTGCTACTTGGCCAAACCTCCTTGTCCCGATTCCATCATTCCCTCACGCATCAAATTCAGGGAAGGACAACACTGGCCTCTCCCGCCGCGAGAAAATCGAAGCTCTCTTCGCTGGTTGCTGTTGTGGGAGGACTAAGACTAGTACCCTCAGACGAAACTTGAATTTTCTCGTTGCCTAGCGTGGACACGAACATTGCAGCCTGACGGCCCTGGTTCCCTTGCCATTGTTTGTGTCCAATCCACTCGACGCCGTCACCGGATCCCTGGATGTTTGCCTTGCGACGAGTCTTTTCGCGTTCGAGGAGCGGAAGGTCGACCGGCCCTGATGCATTCGACTCGTCCCCACTCCCTGGCAAGGGGAGGGTTCGGTAATGCCATTCACCAAGGAACATGCCGTCGGGGTCCACGTCCTGGCGGACCTTTAACCATTCCATCATATCATCTCCATAGAGAGACTTTAGCTCATCCCTCGTGGTCCGGAAATTCTTAGCCCAATGCGGTCTTGCACCCATTTCGCGCATAAGCCACTCAAATGCCTCGTAATACCGTTCCGTGCAAGGAGGATCCCGATGGTACGGGCGATAGAGCGTCGCATTGAGATACAGGGTCGGTCCGCTGGAAGAGGTAGGATCGAGGAACGGACGGGGTGTCTTGTTATAGGTAGAGTCCGCGACTCTGACTTCGATGGGGCAATGCACCCACAGGCCGTCGACGGAAAAAGGGATGCGCGCTGTTTCGTGATCGCCATTCAACCAGGCGGAGAGACGAGTGATGACTTCGGGGCCCTTCTCAAGCGGGAGTGCCCATTCATTGACAAACTGCGAGTACAGACAATTCATGAGGAGACCTGAGCGGGCTGGTTCTACCGCTTCCGTCACGACGGCTTCCGGTTTGAAACCATACTGCAAACCAAAGACCAGCCATTCCACCCACGGGAGAATACGGGGGAAGTAGTTGGCCAAGGCCAGCAGATTGTGGTAGATGTGGTAACCGAGTGTCTCTCCATAGAAGGACTTGGGCGGTTCCCGCAGCGGGAGATCGGTCTTGTCGGCGTGCCAGACAACGGCACTCTTCTCATAGGGCATCCACCATACCCGAACAAATTCATGCGATGTCCACAGTCCGGATGACCATTGGGCCAGCACAGTCGACAGTTTGCGCCGCGTCTGTCGCCAGGCCACCTTGAACGCGGGCTCCGCCTGCAGCGTGACCTCGACAATAATACCAAGTGCACCCAGAGAGATCAGCGCAGCCCGGAAGAGCGACGGGTTACTGGTCGCGCTACACCGCACCAGCTGCCCATTAGCCAGCATGAGAGTCAGTGATTGAATACACTCGGAGATCAAGCCATGCTGGAGAGAACTTCCATGGGTACCCGTGGAGATCACGCCGGCGATTGACTGTTCATCAATACTACCCAAGTTAGACAACATCAAACCATGTTTCTCCAGCTGTGCGCCCAAGTCTCTCAACCGAATTCCCGCCTGGACCGTCACAACCCCGGTCTCCGGCGAAACCTCCAACACGCGATTGAAATCATCCAAGTTTATCAGCCAAGCGGAGGTGCAGGTCAGATCGGAGGGGGAGTGGCCACTCCCCACGGTGACCAGACGACGGCGACAGTGGCGAGCGAGGTTGACGAGCCTCCGAATTTCCTCGATGGATTGCGGGCGTACGTAAAGTTCGGGACGCGAATAGAAGGTCTGCGCCCAAGTATGATGGAGATGATGGGTGGTTGCGCGAAAAGGAACCGCAGGGTCGACACGGGAGACCTCACGCAGGATGGCGGGGTCCATGATGGAGGGGGGAGGGGAGGGAGGATCCCGTCGCTGCACGATTGATTATCTGCACGATATGCAATATGACAGGTCGGATCAGCGGTTAGAGGGGCAGAATTCTCCGTGTGGCTGGAATTTTGATTTAAGAAACGATAAGGCGAAGAGGGACGATCGGGGATACGATCAATCACGGCATGATGAAGGAAAGGGGAGATGCACGAGATGCTAGGAAATCGTAAGTAGCAAATTGGTGAGTAGTAGTAGGAGGTTAAGTAGATTACTAGCAATTTCCCTTCCAGCAAAGCGGCGAACTTTGGCGTGAACCGGAACCAAACGGCAGACTCTGCCTGAGGCGATCATAAGGCAGCAGAATGCGGGACCGGGTCGGGACGGCGGTTTATCCGGCGGGACTGCATACCTTATATCTTAATAGATAATAGATGATTTAGATAAGTACAGAGGAATATCTTATACTACAATTGAGCACCGTCTTCGCATGTCTATCGTTGACATCGGGGGAAGCTATATGGCTATGGTCAATAAATACTAGTCTTACACAATTGCCTACGTCGGAGGTCTAAGGCTTACCCTTTCTTTCCTTTGTTCCTCAATCAGCAGCTAAATGAGCAACATGCTGTGCTAGTAGTAGTATAGGCTTCCCCAACTACCAGTAGTAAGTACTGAGTAGGCCACCTCAGCTCGCTCTCACCAATCAGTTTGAGTTCCCTCTTCCAAAGAACCCCCCCTCTCGCTCGAAGAGGTATACCAACTCAAGATCTAGAGAGGCCGTTCTTGAATCAGATCTATGTATGTGTTGTACATAATGAATAAATATATACTACTACTACTACTACTACTACTCTCCCACCGGTCATATAGAATACCACTCGAACTTTTCAAAATCCTCCCGCACAGTCTCCCCTTCCGGCACACCCTCAACCCCAGCACGTACCGCACCTTCCTGGAAGTTCGCTGCCCAGGCCTTATCCCAAACTGCAGGCTCACTCAGGGTACTCCCTGGCTTTAGGGTGCCGAATTTGAAATCCAAGTGTTCCCCCGCATCGGAAGGCAGGCGCATGAAATAGCGCACACTGGAAGGAATCTCCTCCTTCACGTGGGAAATCATGACCAAAGCTTGATCATCCGTGAGTCCACGGAACCGAGCATCTTCGGGGGCAGGGTGCACTTTAGTCACCCGCTTAGTGACGAACTCGCCGTGGTCGATGAAGTTGAGACACTTGTCCCGGATGGAGGCGGGCATGCCGGAGAAGGCTTCGTCTAGGATGACGATGTCGGGTCGGTGGACGAGAGCGCGGAGAAAGAGAACGAGGCGCTGCTGAGCAGTGCTCAATTCAGCGAAGCGAACTGTGTCGGCGTACTCGACTCCGTGGTCCGGGTTGTAGAAGTCGGTGTCGGATTTGACGAGGGTGGGGAAGAGATCGCGGGGAGTGGTGACTTTGGTGGGTTTTTGGGAGATGTTGGAGACATCGGGGTCGAGTTCGGCGCGGAAGAAGCGGAGGATGGCGCTGACGTCTAGGTCACGGTCATGATTGAGAGTGGGTTTGGCGAGGAAGGTTTCTGCGAAAGCGGATTCAATGGCTTGGCGGATGGTCAGTTGACGGGGGAAGAAGGCGTGGATTTCAGGAGACGAGTGGCCGAGGCGGGATTGGAGCTCGAAGATCGAGAGGCCTGGTTTCCCGGCTTCGGGGAGCCGGGTACGGCCGAAGAGGCGGATAGGGAGAGCGTAGGTTTGGGGATGATCCGAGGTGATGAGAGAGAGGAGAGTGGTTTTGCCGGAGCCGTTGGCACCTAGCACGGCCCAGCGCTGGCCGCGCCGGACTGTCCAGTGCAGGCCAGCTTGTGGTTTGTTGTGTACGTGCTGGGTCCAGTCGCCCAGGACGCATTTGTCACCGTATTGTACACGGACGCCGTCCATTTCAATCAGTGGTTCACCGCCCTTGATAGGGAAGGATGGGGTAGCGCGACCCTTTCCTTGTGGGGGAGCTAGTCGCATGTCCCATATCAATTGGCGATCAAGATAGCCCGCATCGATGGATTCCTTGGCCTGTTCGTACGTCTGGTGGACCCACTGGTTCTCCTTGGCTGTAGGCTTCTCATAACTGCCTAATTTCTTCCATACGTTGAACACCTTCTCCGCCTCCGCGCGGGGAGCTTGGAGCAGAACCCGGTGGGAGTTCCCCAACACCATGATATGCGTGATCCAGTCGGGCAGGGGGTCTTGGGGCCGGAGCGCGAGAACCAGTCGGGGGTCCGACTTGGCTGCCAGGCGCTGGAGGAGGCTTGAGATGCTTCTGACAGTAGCGGGATCAAGGCCCATGAACGGATCATCAAGGAGGAGCAACTCCGGCTTGCTGAGGAGGGCCTTGGCAATTCGAGTCCGTCTAGTCTGACCATTGCTCAAGTTGGCAACCGGCATATCGAGTAATTCCTCCAGCCGGAGCTCGGAAACGACCTGTGCCAGCAGCTGCTCATCGTGTATCTTTCCGTCTTGCTCGGATTCCAACGGGTTCAGAGAAGTCTGGCCTTTGAGATATTGGCGGACTGACCAGTCGGTTTCCTCGCGGAGACTCTCATATCGGGCACTCAGATAGGCGCCGCGAGTGCCCCCAATGGCGCCGGAACCTTCACCACTGAACCCGATATATTGTATTGCGTTCCCTGCAAACCGTAGGCGGTGATCTTTCTGGGCGATCTCGTCGCTGAGGAGGTACGGATAACTGCGCGCCGTGGGCGGTGTGCAGATGTATTGACCACGGAGTACGTCGAGCATCTGCGTTCTTCCCCCGGAGCCAATCACCGCCCAAGTCTGCGG